GAAATAGGTTCTACAACATTATTCAATTGGTGAAGCCAGAGTTGATAGAAAAAAAACCAATAGCTGAAGTTAATTTGGCCTTTAGTATCCAAACAAAATAATTTATGCATTTTTCCACCAATTGTTATAGCTTATATAATTTATGTCATGCCATTGTTTCTTTTAGCCACTTGTCATTATTATTTATATGCTAGATATTTTCAAGAAAGATTGTGGTGTTCTTGTTATGATTTGGTTGAAAACATGGGATTTTATAGTATCGCAAGACTTCACTAATGTATACTTGTATTTTCTTTCATGTTATTCCTTCTACTTGTGTCTTAAAATGACAATTGCCCATGTCTAAACATAATAAGTTCCTATGTCTTTAGTGTAGGAAGAAGTTACTAACTTCATGTCTTAGTATTTTGGTGGTTAATTAATCATCCAAAAAAATAAAAAAAATCAAAGGTGGCTTTAAAATTACTTGATGAAGAAAAGTTTAGAAAAAGAATACGAGGATAGCCACTTTAAAATCTAGGATGTTCATTCATAGTAATTTATCAGACTACTTGAACATTTCACAATGTAATGACTATTTGAACATTTTTAAATACATATAATGACTTCTTAGTTCAAGTCTAAGTGATCTAAATATCAACAAAGTCTAATTTTTTTCTCTTTCTTTCATCAGTTTTATTCTAAAAATCACATTTTTTTTGTCTTAAACTTGCAAGAATATAATAGTAAATCATAAGTTCGCATTTCAAATTCCTAATATTCCTTAAATTTTGAAAATATCAAGTGCTAGTCACAAGTTTCATTCTAACAATTACAACATTTTTTTTCCTTAAAATTACAAGAATACAATATCAAATTATAAGTTCACATTTGAAATTCCTAATATTCCTCAAGCATTGTAAATATCAAGTGCCAGTCATAAGTTTTGCTCTAATAATCATAACTTTTCTTCTTAAAATAATAAGAATACAATAGCAAATCACAAGTTTACATTTGAAATTCTTGATATTCCTTAAATGTCGCAAATATTAAATGCTGGTTATAAGTTTTGTTCTAATAATCACAACTTTTCTTTTTAAAATTGCAAGAATTCAACAAAAAATCACAAGTTTACATTTCAAATTTCTGATATTCCTCAAATGTTACAAATAACAAGTTCTAGTCATAGTTTTAACCTAATAATTACAATTTTTCTTCTTAAAATTATAATAATTCAATATCAAATTGCAAGTTTGCATTTCAAATTCTTAATATTGGTGAAAAAGTTTTAGAAGTGAGAAGGCACAATCACAAGTTTTGTTTTAATAATTACAACTTTCCTTCTTAAAATCACAAGAATGCAACAAGAAATTGTAGTTTATCAGTATCCTAAAAAATTAACTAAATCAGCAAAAATGAATTATTATTTTAATTCAAGAAATAATAAGTTCTATTAATCTAAAGGATAAGAAAACATTAAGAAGTGACAACTATCTAAGGTTTGTTGTTAGTTACATAACCTTGATAGACTACCCCACATGCATGATCTACAACTTTTATCAAAATATCCTAGAATCCTTTTGATAAGAATATATGAAGGGTTGAATCTTCTTTTATATATACGATGTTTTAAATATATCATATTCACAATTCAAAAAATCATTAATCATCCTTGCAAACTGTACAAGACAAAAGGCAACTGTATTCACAAAATAAACACAAAAAGATGTCATATCCACATCATAGCCTAGCTTAGATTTTGTTTCCCACAAGTCTTACATGTATGAGCTAGTTGATGGCATAGTAAACAGTGATAAATCTTTTTATTTTAAAATTGCGGCTCCCTTTTAGAACTTAATGGCCTCCTTGGAGGAAGATTGCTCCTTGGTGGTAGGAGGAAGATTTATGCCCTGATATTTAGAATGTTGTAGTCATTTGGAGGTGGCATATCTATTGTAATAATAGGAATCATGCTAGAATAATATATCTTCTCTTGTGTAGTGATTTTGTAACAATCTTTAACATAATTGTACATATTACCATGCATTAGCTTGATGGTAATGTAATTGTGCAAACATAAAGTCCTTGACATTTGCCATGTTGCACAATTGCATTCACGTAAGCCAAGATTAACACGTAGTGTGTACACAAACCTTGTTTGCTCCATAATGCTCTATAACTAGCCACATGGTTTCTTAGCTTTGCCTTAATTTTTAGACTAACACCATTTCTCCAAGTAGAGAAAGCCATTTTAGATGTATGCATCTTCCAAACTACCTTTTCTTTATGCTCATGGATTGACTGTGCAACACCATGCCTTCTCTTAGTAACTATTAATGAATTAAATAACTTTACAAGATTTATAGTTATATTGTCTCATCTTTTATATAGAAATTTAAATAAAGACCACCTATTAATGTCCCGATGATTTTCAAGCTATTGAGCTAATTTTGGATTGGAATTTATTATGTTTCCTATTACTTCATTAAAGTCATCCTTAAGCCTTGCATATGTGATGCCATCAAGCAAGCTTAATACATCATCCTTGCTCTACCCAATGGTCTTTCCCTTACCTCTATTAATTTTCAACAATTTTCCATTGAAATTCTCTTTAATGTGATGATAACAAAATGCATGTTGTTTGCCTCTAAATATAGCTTAAATAGAACCTATTATGGCATTGTGTCTAGCTGAAACTATTATAAGTTGAATTAAGCCTATTATTTCTTTCACCATATATAGGAATCATGTCCAATCTTTAAGTGTTTTCCCTTTCAAAATGGCATAAGCAAAAGGAAATAACTCATTATCAGTGTCATAAACAGATGCTGATAATAAGGGCCCCTTATGAGGACCACTTAGATAACTACTATCTATATATAGTATGTGTTTTGCATCATGGATGAACCCCTTTATATAATAGCCATAAGCTATAAAAACCTGCCTAAACTTGTTATTGTCAGCTATCATCCATTTAGCAATTATTTTTAGATCTGTTTCCACTAACCGGTCAGAAATCCATGGAATTAACATATAAGATTGGCTGGATGTACCATGGATCTCTTCTAACGCCTTCCCTTTATCTTTGTATGCTTGCTAGTATGTCAGATTGACACGATATTCTATCTGTAACTCTCTTCTAATGTCATTAAGATGCTTGTTTACATGAGATATCTCATCCTTCATTATAGTAGATTAGAAGTTAGACTTAAACTTCCCTTATGAGTAACCATCAAACTGTTTTATGCATAATGTATGTATTCATTTTCAAATGTCTTCTCACACAAAAATGAAGTTTTCTTTTCCATTGCATATGCTGTGATATTCCAAGGGCAACCTTCAATGTCACATATCATTATAATCTTTATTATACTATTGTTCTTATATTTGTATGGAAACATGTGGGTAATGCTATATTTATACAATGTTTTTTTAAAAGCTTCAGTATGGGGAAAGGTCTGCCTTACACTAAAGAACAAATCCCTCCACTTAGAAGAATTAAGCTTTGGCGTCAGTATAGGTGCACTTTGTATTCCACATGGTAATGTTAGAAGTTCTTCAGAAGTTTGGTATGTTAAACATTCTCAATCACTTTCAAAAACTACATGTTCAAAATCATAATCTTGCATGATAGGAGAAGGAGAGTTTGGACCTAAAGTTACAAAAATTGCTCCATCTTACATTCACAATCCATCTAATTGATTACTAAAATAACAACTATCCTATAACCAATGGCAACTTTGTTTGGAAAAATTAACATAGTAACTTACACCAGTGCTTCCTTAATTGTTGCTTCTCAACTATCATTTCCTTTACAACCTATATACACATGACTACTTCCAACATTATACTCAAATAAGATAGCAATTCCACCATCATCAACAAAGGTCTATAATGGTCTTTTCGTCAAAGCTCACAGTGTATTTCATGTCACTAAAATTAGTGTCAATGCCAAAAAAAAAAATGATATCATTATTTTCAATTCTTTAAGTGTCATCTCCTCTCTTATTATTTTTACCCTCACATGCCCCCATTATTTTACTTCAATATTTTTTACAAATTACCCCCTATATGGAAATAATAGAATAGTTCTTTTTCAAAAGTAGAAGCAAAAGAAGTCATTTCTTATGTTATCCTACAATGATGAAATAGCTATTCATCAATATGTGTGTTTTCCAAATATCATGATCACATATTTGTTATACTTTATCTAACAACAATCATTCTTTTTATATTTGCAACTTTATATTAATTATTACAATTTTGGTTTATGTATTTACAATACAACTAAAAATAATATCATTTATATATATTTATCCATACAAAGTTAGCACTCATACCCATGTGATTCAGCCTTACCTATGTAAAGAGAAAATAATGACCTCAATTATTTATGTATATCAACATCAACTTTTAAGGTTATCCACATCAACATCAACTTTAATAGATGAAAGAAGAAATTTCAAATGAGAGAATAAATTTATCTAATATAGAAATTAATACTTCAATCAACATAAGAGCATAAGAAACTTACCCTAATGCAAGCTAATAGAGGAAGAATGGTAGCTTATATCTCTAGTGTTTGCAGAGTTTTAGTAGCTGAAAAAACATTAAAATAGAGAAGAAGAAAAAGAAGTGCACGAATGAGTTTGTTTTGAGGTTTAGGATTTTTATTTTAATTAAGGATAATTTGATCATTTATATTAGTTCATTAATGATAAAAGAAGAATCATATGAATCAATCTATTCTAAGATTTAAAATTTTTATTTCAATCAAGAGTAATTTAATAATTTATATTAATTTATTAATGATAAAAAAATTTCTATAAATTTTAATATAAATATGATATTTTGAATGATTAAAATATCATTCATATAAAAAAATTTTATTATCAATTTTTCTTTTTTCTTTTTTTTTTTTTTAAAAAACGGGCTCTCTAGTCGTCGGTGGGTCATCGATGGTGTGTTTTATTATTAACCGAAAATAAGGATCAATTTCTTTTTTCCACCCCCTTTGGCATAAACTTGAACGATCGATCGTATTTACAGCAATGAATGGATACGCTGCTCAATTCCGCCTATCCTTCCTTCTCGTTCTGTTGTCTCCGAACCAAAAACCCTTGTTTCTACCCTTACGTTCTCTCGCGTTCTGCACTTCTAATTTGACTTTCAGATAAATAGCGACACACACGTATTATATCAGCGAGAAAATAAGAATGGGAGAAGGGAGAGAAGGGGATTGGGAGTGCAGTGGATGTAATAACAGGAACTATGCCTTCCGGTCATTCTGCAATCGTTGCAAGCAACCTCGCCTTCTCGTTGACAACGAAACCCCTGCTGATTCTAAGTGGCTACCTCGTATTGGCGATTGGATCTGCACTGGTTTGCTCCTTCCCCTTTCTAGCGCCTTTTCTTTGCCTGGTGTTTAGTTAATCGTCGAGCTTCTTTTATTATTTCCACTCTGATATTCTTTTAACTTTCCACTGGCTTATGGGCCATCTGCTTAGGTTGATTGTGGGTCATGATTCTCCATTGGATTTAGGTAGTGATATATACAATGTTTTGTTACCGTAAGTTGGCAAACTTGTAGGTTCGTTTGGTATGCTTGTGGCTTGGGAATGGCTTTGTAAACAGCAAATTGTCAGGTCCTCTTAAAATTAGTTATCTGCTTCCTGGAAGTTTATAGGCTGTTGCTGGAGCATGGACATAACCACAAGATATGATCATTGACTTATCACAAGATCTAAACTGTCAATTTGTCATTAAAAATTCTATTGATGTCAATCCTCGGAATACAATTTTCTCAAACCCACAAATTGAATCACAGCTCAAGCTAGAAAATCAGATTATAGGAGATTGAAACTTTTGAAGAACAAGTTCCAGTCTAATCTTATGGCTGAACGGCACAAAAATGAATATATTTGATTAATTCGATAATGTTTCTTGGAAGAATTAAGGGAAAACAACTTGCTTTTTGAAATTTCATCGTTAATTCAAAATCTCTAATCTGGTTTTCTAGCTTTCTTGAATTTTGGTTCAATCATGTGTGATTTTGAGACTTTCATTTGAATTTTCACATCATCTGTGGCATGTCGAATATAAATATATGATATGTCACATGCAGACACCTGTCTTAAGATTATCCATCGTTCTTCTCAGGTTTTAGCATTTCTCTTCTTTCTTATGGAACAAATGCGGAAATGAAGTTGGATGTTCTTTCAGTTCCGAGGTCTTGTAGAGTATAGTATTTTCTTTCATCGTGGCTAATATCTGGAAAAATTGTAGATTTGAACCTGATCACTTTTCAAAATGGATTGATACTTGTTACGAGCTTGCTTTGAGACAAGAGAACTTATTTGAATGTTTGGTATGGTCTTGATAGCCCACTTTAAGCTAGGAAGTTCTCTGTTCTGCTATCCCCCCAACCCAACTCCAAAAAAAGTATGCGCTTTAAACTTATTTAAGTTCTAATTTTAGGTTGGCAGAACTCTTATTTGCATGTCATTATTGTAAGCATATAACTAAAATTTGGTGAAAGTTATTTTCTTATAATTTCGTTGCTATTTTGCTGCATATGTTATTTCTTCAAAAATCTCATTAGATAGGGGTCTGAAATGTATTTCACTAAGCATTGAGATGCATATATTTCATACATACATAGTCTTTCCCATTAGTAACCCAATAAGGCTCAAATATGTCATGGTCATTTGATAATCTATTTTGCAAATAGAGATGAAAATCTTGACATCAAATAATCAAGCTGTTTGTGCTTTTTGTGTGGGATGGATGTGTTGGTATGTATAACCACATATGATTGGCTTCCCTTTCCTGTGGATGCATTCTGGAATGGGGTTGCTTGTGATTGGAACAATAGGTTGCACTAACAACAATTATGCATCAAGAGAGAAGTGCAAAAAGTGTGGACAACTGAAGGAGGTGGCAGCCATGCCGGCAATCGCAATGACCGGAGCATCTTTTCCAACTTATTCACATCATTTTTCCAGGGCTCCAGGAGGACCTGATCAAAAAATGAATATTGGATTGATCGGAAATAGTGCTCCACCAGTTTCCCTATGGCTACCAAGTGGAAACTATGGTTCTGGGCTTCCTTATGATAATTGTACCAACCCAAACTTGTCTGTTCTGAAAGGATGGCGTAATGGGGACTGGATCTGTAATTGTGGCTTCCATAATTATTCATCACGTTCCCAGGTATTCCTTTTTCATTTAACTTCTAAATGACGTCAAATTATTTGAGGTTGTCACTGTAAATTTTCACTATTTTTCTCATCCATTTTTATTTTTTTATTATTCTTTTGCAGTGTAAGAAATGCAATGCGTTTCCACCTGGTATGGCTTCTTCTTCTGGATTTAGTAGAGTAGGTGCAAAATCCATAACTTCATCTTCGACTAATAGATATTGAAACTATTTGTGCTTGTATTTCGTGATTTATTCACTCAAAACAGAATACATATATAGATGCTACAGGGATGACCGAATCTGATCGTATCGGGCAAAAGAATTAAAACAGAAGCAATCCCATATATTTGGGGATATAAAAATAAATAGCAAATATTCTAATAACCAGAATATATTAGGTAACCAGGGCAAACTTCTCTAATGGGCCCAAGAGACAGCAAGCCCACTTCCAACACTCCCCTCAAGCTGGTGAATCGATATTGATCATTCCTAGCGTGCTTCTAAATCCTTCGAACTTGTCTCGAGTCAAAGATTTTGTCATTACATCAGCAATCTTTTGACCTGAAGGAATATATGCTAAATCAATTATTTCTCCCTCAATTTTTTCTCTTATGAAGTGTCGATCAATTTCTACTTGTTTCATTTGATCATGTTGAATTGGATTTTTGGCAATTTTTATGGTTGACATGTTATCATACCAAACCTTGATTGGAGAATTCACATCCATCTTCAGTTCCCTTAGAAGTCTGATAATCCACATTCCTTTGCATACCCCTAAGGATAATGCTCGATACTCTGATTTTGCTGAGCTTCTTGATACAACAGGCTGTCTTTTACTTCTCCATGTCATAAGATTATCCCACACATAGGAGCAAAACCCAGTAGTAGAGCGTCTATCACTTTTTGAACCTCCCCAATCGGTATCAGTAAACATCTCTATGCTTCTAGAATTACCTTTCTCAAAGAACAAGCCTTGTCATGGCATTTTCTTTAGGTATAGAAAATTGACTCACCACACTTACGGGATAGCAAATGTTAGGTCTTGTGTGGGACAAATAGATCAATTTTTCCACCAATTTCTGGTATCTTTCTTTGTCAACTGCTTTACCATCTGGCCTAATCATCAATTTTTGATTAAGCTCCATAGGTGTGTGTGATGGTTGAGCTCCTAACATTTTGGTTTCTTTTAGCAAGTCAATCACATACTTGCGTTGAGACATGCTAATCCCTTTCTTGGTCCTAGCTACCTACATACCCAAGAAGTATATCAGATGTCCAAGATCCTCGATGTCAAATTTGATAGCTAATTTCCTTTTTAAGTTGACAATCTCCTCAGCATCATTTCCTGTGAGAACGATGTCATTCGCATGTACAATAAGAGTAGTGATTTTTGAACCACAGTGTTTCACAAATAAGGTATCATCTGCTTGGCATTGAGTGTATCCTTGTTTCTTTATTGCCTAATTGAATTTGTCAAACTAAGCCCTTGGAGATTGTTTTAGTCCGTAGAGAGATTTGAAAAGTCAGCAAACTTCATTTGAGTTTCCTGTGTTCCTCAAGCCTAGAGGTACCTCCATATATACTTCTTCCTTTAGATCACCATTTAGGAATGCATTTTTAACATCCAATTGACGTAATGGCCAATCCAAATTTGTAGCAATAGATAACAGAACATTAATAGTGTTAAGTTTAGCTGCTGGGGCAAAGGTTTCTTGGTATTCAATACCATAGGTTTGTGTGAACCCTCGAGCAACTAGACAAGCTTTGTATTTATTGATCGTTCCATCTGGATTATACTTGATTGTGAAGACCCACTTGCTACTCACGATTGATTTTCCCTTAGGCAGCTCTATAAGCTTCCAGGTTTTGTTCTTGTGAAGAGCTTGTTGTTCTTCATTAATGGCCTCCCTCCATTTTGGATCTCTATAGCGACATCATAATTTTTAGGTATCTTGACCTTCTTAACATTAGCAACAAAGGTTCTTAGATGGGGAGACAACTTCTTGTAAGAAACATACCTGCCAATGGGATGTTGAGTGCAACTCCTTTTCCCTTTTTTTAAGGCAATTGGCTAGTGTAAATCTTCAAGACTTGGTTCAGGTTTAGACTCTTGACTTTGCCTTGTTGTAGCAATGGACTCATACCCACCATGTTGCTGCTCGAAGGCATTTAAAGGCTCATCCACCATAGTTTCAGCAGAATTTGTTTTAGAAACAATAGTCAAAGGCTCAAATGGATTAATATCTTGAAATATGGACTTGGTGGATAAAGATTCAGTGTTGGTAGGTAGTGAGGGAGAATTTTCTAGGCTGTTTTGTGAAGGAAAGGATAAGTCTGATTGGGAATGAGGTATTGAAGTATGGGGCTCGTGCTGATCAAAATTAGTGACATAATAGTCTTGCTTGGTTTCACAAATGATCTATTCATAATTAGAGATCTCAGAAGTCTTCTCCCCTTGAATGGGTGATTTGGGAAAAAAGGATTGATTTTCAAGAAATTTGACATTCATCGTCACATAAACCTTATTGGTAGAAGGAGAGAAATATTTGTAGCCCTTTTGGGATGAAGAATATCCCAGAAAAATGCATTTTAAGGTACAGGAGTCAAGTTTACTCCCTCCCTCATTGTGAACAAAAGCAGTACAGCCAAACACTTTGGGAGAAATGGATGAAATTAGAGGAGAATTAGGAAAATGTTCCAGAAATTTCTCAAGAGGAGTGGAAAAATTTAAAGGTTTAGAAGGCATGTGATTGATTAAATATGCAGCGGTAAAAATGGCATCCCCCCAAAATCTATTAGGCACATTGCTATGCATCATGAGTGCACGAGCAACTTCGAGAAGGTGCCTATTTTTCCTTTCAGAAACACCATTTTGTTGTGAAGAATATGCGCAAGACGTTTGGTGATGAACACCATGTAAGTTACAAAATTCTGTAAATTGAGAATTCAAATATTCCTTTCCATTATCACTCCTAAGAGTGTGAAATTGAGTTTCGACAAACATGTAGAAATTTTTGAAAATAGAGAAAACTTCAGACTTATTCCTCATAAAAAAGATCCATGTTAACCGAGTGATTATCAATAAATGAAACAAACCAGCGGGCTTTAGAATTAGTTTCAATTTTAGATGGACCCCATACATCACTGTGGATGAGAGTAAATGGCTTAGTGGGAATGTAAGAATGACTAGTATAGGAATTGCAAGTTTGTTTGGCAAAGTGGCAAGTTTCATAATGGAAATCAGCAATAATTTTATTACTAATATCTGGAAACAAAGCTTGCAAGTAGTTTAGACTAGAGTGGCCTAACCTAGAATGCCATAAATGAACATCATTCATGGACATAGAAGTAAAGACACGAGAAATACATGCTTTTGGTAGGGTTCCTTGAAGATAATAGAGTCCATGCCACTCCTTAGCATTGCCAATCATCTCTCCCAAGACCAAATCCTGAAAAACACACCCATAGCCGTCAAAAACAACAAGACAGTTAATTTGATGTACAATTCTTCATACAAATAGCAAGCTGCACTTAATGTCAAGAACATAGAAAACATTTCTTAATATTATTCGTTCAGAAATGATCATTGTGCCTGTTCCCATAACCTTAGCAAATTGCCTGTTAGCTACTTCCACTACATCATGTTCTTTGAATTCAGTAAAATTAGAAAAAAGCTCTTTGTAACCGGTGATATGATCTGTAGCCCCAGAATTCACTATCCAAACATTGTTAGAAGGACTACTAGGTGCTTGAGTAAGGGCAGTAGTACCTACTTGGGCTAGAGTAACCGAAGGAATATGTGTCGCACCAGAAGTAGGAGCAAGTTGATTATCATGTTTGTCTAAGATTTTTCGAAGGACCAGAAGCTCTTCCGTACTTAAAGACCCATTATCTAGTATAGTTGGTCCCATCATCATGCCTTTGCTGTCACTTCTCAGTTTCTGTTTGTTGGGGGGGCTTACCATGTAATTTCCAACAAACTTCTCGAGTGTGACCCTTTTTATTGCAATGATCACACCATCAGGCAGGTTTACTCCGTTTGGCATCTTCTTGTGTTCCACGAACAGCCAAGATCGAGACTTCTTGAGGAAGAGAAGTAAAAGAAGACTCTATTAGAGATTTAGTGAGTACCTCCTAGCTTTCTTCACATTTAATCATGTTGAGGGCTTCTTCTAGTGTTGGCGACTCATAATTCAGCCACAAGCATCTTCAAATGAGTCTTTTAGGCCTAAAAGAAACTCATAATAGCGTTCTCGGTCAACTAGTAGCTTGTAGTATAACTCATCTTTAGTTCACGACCAGGTATGAACCTCATATAGGTTGATTTGCTGCCATAAGCGTTTCAGTGCACTAAAAAATTGAGTAACAGTGAAATCACGTTAAACCAGTGGCCGTAGTTGACGGTTGACTTGGAAAATGGCTGCTGTGTTCTCTCTAAGTAGGTAGTTTTTGCTGAGTCCCATATCTCTTTAGCAGAAGTTGAAAGAAGGTAATTCTTAGAAGTTGAAAGAAGGTAATTCTCACTGATTTTTGCATCATTGGGTGAATCAGCTAGGCCATCACCAAATTATTCTCTACACGTCACTTGTCATATGTAGGCTCGGAAGGATTCAGTGGTGGAGGAACCCACGTTGGATAACATTCCTTTTGTTGACCGCGTATGATCATCAATATGCTGCGAGACCATTAGAGATAGTTGTGCTCAGTGAGATGATGCGAGACAAGATGCAAAGTGAAGTCGGACGAGCCCATCGTGGTAGACGATAGACCTTCCCTACTTAAAGGCGTTCGTAGAGGCGACAAGTCTACCCTTGTCGTGTTCGATTGTAGAGAGGAATCTGGTTTGTGGCGAGGACCCATGCTGGAAAACCAAACGCTGAACGATAGTCCATCACGCCACCGAAGGCTCTGAAACCATGAAACTATTTGTGTTTGTATTTCATGGTTTATTCACTCAAAACAGAGTATGCTACAGGGATGACTGAATCTGATTGTATTGGGCAAAAGAATTAAAACAGAAGCAATCCCATATATTTGGGGATATAAAAATAAATAGCAAATATTCTAATAACCAAAATATATTAGGTAACTAGGGCAGACTTCTCTAATGGGCCTAAGAGAGAACAAGCCCACTTCCAACCGAGATATTATCTACAAATGCCTTGGCCTCAACATACTACACCCTTATGTTTGCTCTGTTCAATGCTTACTTGATCTCCTAGGGGCTCATTACATTTATAATTAGGAGAACTCTGGTCATTTATTATTTAGAATGAAATTCGTTCTAGCAATTGATGTTAAATTTTGTCACTCATTCCTCTTTTTTTTGCATAAAGCACTTGGGACAAAGCGATTAGCTTCTGAAGAGTTGGTTTATGACTGGGATAACAAGAGATTGAATGTGGGACATGTGAGAATTTATTTTCCTTTATACTTCTAATCAAGTTCTGTAGTCTTAACATTTGTTCTTTTGATTAGTATATTTACTCTCTTGTTTCTACTTTTGTCACTCTTGTGTAAAATGTTTAGACAAATGAGCAGCAACAAATATATACAAGTGTGGAGCAAGTGGTAGTGGCCAGTGCAGATTCAAAATCTGGAGTCTTCCCCTCAGCCACTGTAAACTCAAGTACTGCCCCGAGTTTGCCAATGCCCATGCTGTTTCCTCCACAAATTACCACACCTGCACTCCTTGGAAAAGGGTAATTACTTGATCTTCCCGAGCACCTTTTTATTCTAAGACATTTGTTTCTTTGTGGATCTCACAACTCAATAAATTTGTAATATTTTTCAAACTGCATTTCTCCTCTTTTTCTTTGGTGATAAGCACAGTCTTTCCTATTATTAAGGGATTCCTTGTGCATGGTATGCTGCTCTCAGAAATGAGCAGCAGTTAGAGAGCAGCAGTTTTTGTAAATTTTTCCTTTGGAAATAGAACAGTGTTGTATATAAGTGTGTGTGTGTTTATAAAATTTGTCTATGTGTGTGGCAGTCAGAGAATGTTAAGCATACTTTGGAGAGCCTATGCCTCTCTAGTGCATGGGGACCTTTGGTTCAGCTGTTATTTGCGGGTGTCTTTGCTAAGGTTGTAGCTGCCCTTATGAGACTTACACTCTGGCAGGATTTTTACACAGATAATATAATTTCTGAACTTGATTACATCGAATGGTGTTAGAGTGGTGATAATTCCGGAAAGAGGGCGGAAATGGGAATTGCACTGGAAGACCTTGAAAGAAGATTTTCCAAGCAGAGAATGAAGAAATGGCAATGAGACTTAAAAAAGATGAAACATATATTGAAGGAGATACTTAGGATTATGAGGGAAAAGGAGGGAAAGAAGATGAAGCAAAAGAGAGAGGCGAGCATGAGTTGAAATGCTTAGAGAATGCCAAAGATGTTGCTGAAGGTAGTATGACTGCACATGTAATTGGAGCAGCTGTCAGCGCGAAGAAAGAAATCCCATAGGCTGAGTACTCATTGAACTAGGAAGTATGAAGAGAGAGTGAGGGATTGTTTAGATGGAGAGAAGATTGGAGCCAAATGCTGGGGGCAAAAAAAGCAAAATCTGGTGAAAGTGGAGAAGAGAAATGAGAGATTAGACCTAGACCAGGTTAGGTTAACTTATTGAGGAAGATTGACTAAATCACTTGTGGTCAGAAAACTTATGTGGGCTTTATTTGATAACCCTTGACTTGGCCCAATCACATTCAATTAAACTATTCTAAACCTACCCAACACTATTGGGTTGATCTAGAAGAAACCAGACATGTAAAGCCTCCAAAAGAATGCTGAAAGGCATCTTATTCTAAGGAAGGGGGCATCTTTGCTGTTGTCTGCAGTATCAAGTCACTCAAAGGCTTTCTTTTCATAACCCAACCAGCCCGGACATTTGGATTGTTGCCTGAAGAAGAAAGCAGTCTAGTTTAACCATTTGGCCCACTCTGGCAATTGACTTGGGCGGTTCTTGAAGATTTGAAGAAAAACCTATGACCCAAAATGGTTGGACCGTTTTGACCTGTTTTTAACACACACACACACACACACACACACACACAAACACAAATATTTTTTATTTAATTATTATGACACCGGTTCAACCACCAGTGTAGCTAGTTAAACCATGAAAATTGTGACTCGCTAACCTTTATAGTTCATCATTCAGTCCGGTTTTTGAAAGCATTGTTTAGAGGAACTTCGGCACTTGTTCTATGTCAATACAGTGAGCAGAGGAGAAACAAGGGAGCTTCTTGGCCACGAGAGGATGTTTGGGGCAAACATTGGGGCTTCTTCATTTGTTTGTTCTCTTTTGAAGCATTAAGGAGGTTCTCAACTTTAAGTTAGTTATGTTGGTGTATGCTTGCTAAGGTTCTGAAAATTGCCTTGGTAGCTGCTAGTGATGGAGTCACAAGCATATTTGAGGGGTGTCTTCTGCTTGCAGGTGAAGGACTGGGATCTGCAGGTTCTATATACTTTTGTTGTTTTAAAAGAATGTTTTTCCCGTGCATCTGTGAAGTGTAAGATTAGCATTTTTAAGCCCTGCAAAAGTTCCCTGGATCTGCATCAAACCCTTGTTTCAAGTTCCATAACAGTTCTTGAATTTGTCTCTTCTCAGTTGTCTCTTTTTATCATTATCATGCGTTTCCTGATATACAAGTAGGTGATTTGGTGTTGCTATTGCCTGAAGAAACTATTCTAGTAAATGGAAGGGTCATGTGGAGAGGGAATATTTTGAATAAGTTCATGCTGTTGCAAACCATAAATTGGGATGGTTCTTTAAGGATCAAAGTTTTTCGTATTGGCTTCAACTTGATATTTGGAATTGCTGATTGGAGGTGTTCACTCACATCGAGCACCTACACTAAGTTCTGTTGATTGGATGGTGAGCTGTTTATGAATTGGATTTTATCCCTTTCTGGGTGGAGCTCTCAATTATTGGCCATGTCCAGTTAAATGTCCTTCACCAGTAAAGGAATGTGGAGAAGGTTTTCAAAGAAGCTGCAAACTCAGTTTTTAATTCGGCATGTAAGTTGAGGATGTCTGGGCTGTCTCTAGTGGGCTTTCATTCTTGTTAGCTTCTGGCTGTGCTTTTAAATAGTGCTATACGGTTCCTAGACTAGTTATATTGGAACCTGATATAATTGTTGGGCTGAAAGTACCAACCAAATGTGTCATAACTGCCTTATGTGGATTGATTGAAAGCATCATTGGTTATGTTCTAGTTTGCATGGCTCGATGACTGCAAGCATAAGATGACATGGCTTGTTTTTCTCTAGCACCATGGGTCATGGAACTAATAATTGCAGTTCTGGTCAACTTGTAAAGGAGCCACCATTTCCCCATTCTAATTCTCACCTCAAGGGCAAGTTGAAACTCAGGACTGGGAAATGATGGGTCCCTAACTAATGGGCTAGGGTGGGGTCACATGGAATGTTTGAGGGGTGTGAGAGAGAGTAGGCTAGTGATGGGTAATATATGTGGCAGTGGGTTGGGAAAGGAAGTTAAGCATACTATGAGTGAATTGCTATGGAGAGCCTAAGCCTCTCAAATGCATAGGGACTTTGGTTTAGCTTTTATATGCTCCTGTCTTTTCCAATATTTGTTGCTACTCTTCTGAGATTTACACTCTAGCTGGGATTTTATGCATAGTATAATTTCTGGAGTTGGTTACACCATTTACTAATGCTTGTTTGAACTTTGTTGACTTATCAGAGCAAAGCAATGGCGTAATGGAGATTGGATGTGCACAAATTGCAACAATCACAATTATGCTTCCAGACTGCAGTGTAACAGGTCATTATCTCCTCTATATGGTTTTCCTGTGTATAAAGAGGGGGAGAATTTTGAATTGCGGGTGATTTATTTTCAGGACATTTTGTTTAAAAAATTATCCTCCACATGAAAACAAATGATGCTTCTCAAGCGATCATGCATGTTGACATTATGGATTTGCTTAAATCTGGTTCATTAAAGGCGAGTATTCTAACATCAGCTGGCAGTGATTTTCCACGTGCCTGCAGTAAACCGTTCCCTAAGATAATGAAAATCTACACGGGGAATTATTTTGACTCATCCAGGGCTTAGATTTCCATGTTTACAGTTGTTTTCTCAACATGGGGAAGCATCCATGTTGGTATGGCTGCCAAAAAAATTAAGAGCATGGAAACATTGTTATGAAGGTCCATGCTATTGTACCCAGACATTTATTTATATTGATTTATTAAACGAGCAACAACTTCGTTTTTACTGCCTTCTTAATTCCACGATAGTTTGACTGAAATGTAAGTTCGTAATTTGTCTGCAAACTTCTTGACTTTGGGCGGAAGGGTGCTGATTGTGTTGCAAATGTGGTTGTTCAAATTGAACTGAATTATAAATGCTTATCATTTGCAGGTGTAAAACTCAGAGAATGGCACCCATACAACCCGTCAATGTGATGTAATGTTGTATTTGATTGTATTACGAGTTAGACTTAGAATGTTGTTGCATGCACAGTTGCTGCTTGAATTTTGTTTTGGTTTTCCAGCATGTATTTTTCAGCAAAAAAGTGGATTTTCTTGATAGGCTCGTTATGCTTGCTTGATTTAGTGGCAGTGCATTTCAATTCATCTGAGAGATGTGTAATTGTTTTTATAAATATTCATGATATATGAGATTTTTGGTGTGAGATGTGTTACACGATGCTCCTCCTCTTTTTAGGCCAAGACTGAATGTCTGCGAATTATAATTATATTCTCGATCCATCTTATGTGGCCGCTGTAAGCTTAGCTGGGAATTGGGATACACAATCGTTTGAAAAAAAAAAAAATGAAAAGGCAAGTACTGAACTTGAAGAAAAATACACAAGATAATTAACTAAGAACAAGTAGTTAATTAACTAGCTTCCAGACCACGAAATGTCAGCCGGTGATTCGGAGAATTCTTTTCTCGTACGCCCCCGAAATGGAAAAACAGGATTAAGAGATTTTTTTTTTTCATCATTCACCACTTTAGTACAATAAGATGGTGGACTATCAACAATCAATTTATTGTACTAAGGTAGTGGTTGATAGAGTTGGCAAATGGATAGGTTTAACATTTATGGGCTTAGGTTTTAAACTTTAGTTTTCTTAAAAATATTTTATTGTTAAAGCTTAGTTTTTGTTTAAATTGTTTAAAGTCAAGCGCTTGCATTATGTTTGGGAGAGTTTTTAAGGGAGGAAGGAATGGAATGAAGTGATTAAAAGGCTTAGATTATTGTTTGAGTTACTTTTTGTTATTGTTTTTGTTTTTTAAAAGAGGGATGGAATGGTAAGGAAGAGCTTCTAAAGTCTTCCTTTGCCATCTATCTCAATTTTTTTGTCCTCTCGAATTGAGGGTTAGGGATGGAGTGATATAATAGAATTATTTTATTTACTAAATTACCTCCAACCTTTTACCTTAATAAAAAAATAAAAATTTCATTTGTTATTTTTATTCTCCAGTCACTTCTCTCACCTCTTACCATATCTCTTTCGCTCCTGCCATGCGTCTCTCTCCCCTCCTCTCAACACTACAACTCTGTTGTGTTTTCCTCTCATATATCAAGTATGTTTGCTTGAGTAATTTTATTGCTTGCTTTTTCTTTTTATTCTTAGGTATCTTATTTGATTGTTAATTTTAATTATCATTAATTTTTTATTAGACAAATATTATAATTATTTAATGAGCATCATTATTTTTTTAAAATTTAGTCATATGGGTAATATTGGAAGAAAAAAGTTTTAATTCATTATGTTTCATCCATTTTACAATAACTATCATGTAAGATTGTTCCTTTTTATCATAAAACTCTTAAACAATAAAAAATTTTGTTTTATTCCAATATGTACTGCTCCATTCCGTTCTATTCATTAATGATCATTCATTTTCATTTAATCATAAACTTCCAAAGACACTCTTGAGCCTGCTTTAGGGAAAAAAACCAAAAACAAAAAATAATAATAAAAAAATTGGTGACTATCAAGGGAGGCTTCTTGTCAACAATATTTAACATAAAAGTTTATAGTCAACAGAACATTTCAAACTTATTAGCCAGAAGGAGATTCAAACAAAAAATAGACAAAGGTGGCATCATTAATTGATGCCATTAACATGGCAACTATATTTAAATCCAGTGACTGGTAAGAAATCTAGTGCATGTTTTTCCACCGTAGGATTACATCATTCAAGGTGCTTAAAACAAATATTCCTGTTCTCTTTCAAGGAAAGATCGATTGAAAATTTGTGAGCATTGAAATCTGGTCGTATCCCTGGATTTGAGAACCCAACCACATATGGCATCTTGCAGAAGCAAAACATATGAGCGGCAAGTGGATCTTAGATCGAACAGACCACCAATTTTAACAGCCAGCTATTCTTTAACAATGGGCTCAAAACAATTTTACCATCCAGCTATTCTTTATAAAAACTAATGCCCATGTTCAAATATTTTAACTTCTAAGCAATTACATAAATCCTGGCACCAACAAGGACCAAAGACAGTTTTTGCATGGCCGGGGTGACGGTCTCACAATCACATATCAGTAATAATCAAGGGTTTGACTGGATAGCTTGAGTTGAAAAAAGTTGTACCACTAACATTCTGCCTTAATGTTCCTTAGATCAATTATACTTACATATCTGACACCACCAACTTCATCCGTTCAAGATAGTCAGGTTGAGATAGCCGAGAGCGATTGAGCACGGTGCAAATCCGAGATTAAGGATTAGAGGATGAAGGACAGTGACTGAGCACCATGATTTGAAGCCAAGATCAAGAATCAGAGGAGTGAGGAAAGTGACAGCTTAAACCTTAGAGAGTGACAGATGAGGGATGTAACATCCAGGATTCAAATGGTTGTGTCAAGTGTTCTAATGAAGGATAATTAAATGAAAGTGAGTATTAATTAGTTTGAGGATGGTTTGGAATGGTTAGAGGGTTTATTGATTTCATTCATAAATGGAAGTGCAAAACAAAGCTGGCATTCTTTGTGCGGTGGATGGTCAAAAATCAGACATATTAGCTCATGTCTAAGGGCTGTGAAATAGAAAGAGGAAGGGAGAAATTGAGGGAGGGCGATGGAGGGAGCATTGATTCTACTGAGGCACAAACCCATTTACATTTTGGAGGTGATTGAAGATTGTTTTCATCTAAGTATGTTTTCCCTACTCCTTCCTCTTCTCTCTACATGAGTTTGAAGTAAGATTTGAGGTTGTTAGATGATAATTTCAGACCTTGAGGCTATGCATCAAAACCCATTGGTTCTAATGGGATTAATGAGTGTTGTTTTAGTGTTCTATATCTAGATTAGAAGTTGTTATAAGGTTTCAAGTTTGGGTTTAGGGTTTTGGTTGAACCCTAGACACTTTGATGATGATTTTGGATTGTTGAATAATATAGTAGTGGTTATTTGAATTAATACGAGTTAAATGAATTTAATGGGAATTAATAAACCCATTGGATATAAGATTTAAGTATTAAAACAATTTGGTTGTTTAAGCGTGAAATTAAAAGTTGGGAGTGTCGAATTAGTTAATTATTAGTGACAATGGTTTGTATTATTTGCAGACTAGCCTTGTGAAGTATGGAGGAGCTTGAGTTTAGTTTGGAAGCAAGTGGTGATTGGGGTAACCTGAGTTTTCAAAGGTTTGAGACTTTGAGGTGACTAGGAGAATCCATTTCATGGTATCACTTGTTAATTAATTATAAGTGTTTGTGAACTTTGAAAATATATTTTTATATATCAAATATTATTTGTGTTGTTTAGTTTTAAATATATGCAAGTGGGAGTTTGTATATTAATGAAATTGCAAAGTTTGAAAATGATTTTTCACTCATGAATTTGATAATTGTTGGTGAATGTGAGCACAATGATGATTATTTTTGTTATGATTTTTTATGATCATATTGTTGGCAAGAATTTGCCTCAGTGGAGTAGTGACTGTGTCCACGTGGATCATATCAATATTGTAAGGCCTTGGTGTTTGGTATACTATATTATGCTTAAACCCTACCTAGCAAAGGTGATAATAGGGCTCACCCTTAAACCCGAACTAGTGAAGTTAGTAATAGGGCCTTGGGACACCTATGTGTTTGAGATAGGTGAATCTATGGTTTGAGATTAACTATAAGGCCTTGGCTTGGTCACCTTTCATGATTGGAGAGTTTGGACTAACCTAATCACATGGGTCTTGCTCTTGTTTATTGTGTAGTCCATGGATTCAGTTAGTAGTGATGAAGGTTTGGTGGAGTTATGATCATATATTGCATTGAATCTTTGTTCTAATGCTGAAGATTTATTTCATAATTTTCTACTTTTCTTGTCTATTATTATTGACTTGCATGAGTATGTTTTAGACTTATAGTTACTAAGTGGTTATACTCATCCTTTTACTTATCATTTTGAGGCACTAGCTCTATTTAGGACAAGGGAAAAGCTCTTGAGGATTAGGGATTTGTTTTCTATAATAACACCTCATTTTACTTCATTTTATGTGCAATTGTTATTGATAATGCCAACTACAAAGATTTTTTTGTGTACTTGCACAATTGCATGAATTTATAGTCGGTCATTGGTATTTTGTGCCCTAAATCATGTTGTATAAGTTGCTAATGTATAATTGGGGCAAAATGCTAATGCAAGTATGTCTGGGGTTATTTGGAATGATTTGAATGATTATTTTGTTAACTGAATGATGATTTACCTCTCTATTGCTTTTTGATAAATATAGGGTTGAGTTTGATAAATGAGATTTTGAACATATTTATGTGTTTGTACAATTCATCCTAGGTTCTTTGAGTTTGAGCTAGGTGGTTGTGTGAGCTTGTGACAGTTTGGTTAGGGCCTTGAACACTCCTTTGATGTGTAAAGTGTGAAGTGGGGTTAGTTTAGGTTTTGGTATCCAACTTCTCTTTATGAAAGAATTTAAAAACAAAACTAGTGCCATTAGCTAGTTTATTGAATGACTTTTCATAGACACCTAGATCACTTTTATTAGACATTAGATAGAGATTTAGGGCACGTTAAAAGTTAGCCCCCAGAATCTACCAAATGGCATCTATGTATTGTAAGGATTTATGCAATTCACCATGGCACATGGCACCTGTGCTGTAGTGCATGGCATAAAGAGTTCCAACCATGGTGCACCTTCTTTATACCATAGTGGATGGCTCTTATTGTTGGAAAATGATTTTTTCCCTCTTATGCGAATGTTTTTAAACTTAATTGGTATCATATACTTATGTACATTTTATATCTATAATTTTGATGTTGGTTTAAACCTATTGATTTTTAATTTTGAACTTGGGATCCCATTTTGAATAAAGGAATTTTTGATTAACATGGTGAGGTTTCATTAAAATGGTTAAGTAGGTGGTTAATTTAAGTGATATTATAGGCAACAACATCAGGATTTTAAACCCCAAAAGGCTTACTATTGTTATGATAGTTAGTTGGAGTGAGCAAAGTGACTAAGAAAACTTAAACTTCAAATATCAAGAAACAATATGCAAGAGCTTAGTGATTGATGAGAGGTAGTGTAATATAAAAAAAAAAAAGAATTGGTTATCCACATGCTTAACCTCTTGCGTGCTTGACCTAATATTATATAAGGGATAACTTGTCAAACCCCAAATGTTTTCGATGTCCAAAAAGAAGGGAGAGGAGATGTTATTCC